CCACCACCACGGCCCGCCTCCGGCGCCCTCCCAGGCGGCCAGCAGCACCAAGCCCAAGCACAGCGGTATCAGTACGGTGGTCTGAGGCACACAGGGGCTCCCCGGGCTCTCTGACTGAACTTTGATTTCACTCCGAGGCTCTTGGCTGACGAGGCGGTCGCACTGTGCATCGGTGGTCTGGGGATTTGAAGCCAGACGAGATCCTGTGCCTCCTTCAGCATTTTTTGTTACGCTTGTTGCTAGGCCAGTTTATTCAACATAAACACATTTCTTTTCCTGGTTGCTCCTTTCGTTTCTGTTCAGGTCATAAGTCAGCCTGCTTCAAGAGCAACAGTCAAAAACACAAGAGCATGCACAAAGACCACAACTACTGTTTCTCCTTAGTCAATTAAAGGAACATGATCAAATATCTTGCTTACTAGTATTTTACAGACAAAGTAAATAGTAATCTTGACTTTAATGTCTACAAAGTGATTTTATCTAGTTTGAGGGTGGTTTGACGGACAGACAGACAGCCAGTCATCCTCAACAGTAGCTGTACGAGTATTTAATGTAGCGGTAGCTCACAGTACACTGTGATGTCTCTGTTAGCAGTGATAAATGTGCCAATTATTGAAGCATTTACCAATTTAGTCACAACAAATGCTTTATGTATATTGTGCATAGTATTTTGTAAAATAACAATATCAACTGTTATTATTATAATTATTACAGAACAAATGGCATCAATTAAAACTCGCACATAGGTGGCGTAGTTTCACTGTTAAGAACACAATCAAAGCTTAATAGTTAATAGGCAGTTCAGTAAGCTGGAACACTACTGTGTATGGTTGCCTTTGAGTTAGGACTCTGTGAGGATTGTCGAGGGTCGGTGTGGACTTGCACACCGGCCTGCGTACGGTCTCATCCTCTGCACTTGTGTTTGGTTTCGGAGTCGTCGCTCCCGCTCTGGAAAAAGGAAGCCACAGCGAGCTGCTGAGCAAACAGATTCATCTGAATGTCCGCCCTTCAGTACTGGCTGCTTGTCCACCATCATTTTATTTTTTTAACTATTTTTTTAGAGTCCAATAAACAATATATAACGCTCTGTGTGTTGCAACCTGGTAGTCCACTCTTCAGGAGGGAGGAGGAGGAGGAGCTGTTTTGTTTTCATGGAAACTGAAGGAGTCTGTGCAAACTGTGTAGCAGGGAAAACAGCAACGTGACTGTTTTAAGTGTCTCTCCTGACGTGGAAGCTCTCAGCTGGCTGAGTGTGCCCTGTCCCTCTTTTGGTTTGTGTGTCTCTCGAGGCAGCGGGTGTGTCGTGCGGCGTCGTGCACTCCCTCTGTCGGACCTTCCCTCGGAGCCACAGGGACGTCACAGTGCAAAAATCAATAATTATCATTCTGTGATGGTGGCAGCGTTCTTGTGCTCAGCTCACCACAAATGGCAGTTTTTATATCAATCATCTTTCTGACATATTATGGGATGGCTGGTTGTACCTGCCAGCCATCCTGTGCACAGTATCTGCCGTGTGCAGAGCGGAGGCAGGGGGCTGGTGTGCTGGAGCATATTTTCTGTTGGAAGTGATAGACACAGCACTTGTTCTACTTAGTTAATATCAATGGCAGAGGTTAGTCTGTATCTGCTTCAAGACTATGAGATGGATTTTCTTTTTTACTTGTATGTGCAATATGTATTCACTTTTTTCGTCTAAGAGCAATTGCAATCTGGTGGTTGTTCCATTTTGTTAGTTCTGTTAGTTTTGTCCCCCCCCCCCCNNNNCCCAACGTCCTTCCTCATTTTCTCCTCAATGTCTCAGTGAAGTGCAAGTATCCACATGGATTTGGAGGGACTGGACCTTCCACACTGATAAAGAATGTCAAAGAAAATAATTGCATGTAACAATGTATTTCGAGACTATATTTTCTAACTATTGTGTATTCCCAAACTATATCAGTGTTACAGTCGACAGTTGTTAGAAATGAATGGTAGAATAGGTGTGACTTCTTCAATTACAACTAACTGAAGTCAACTATGTGTTTATGTCACTCCAGAGGAAATCTGTATCTTTTCCTGATCCACATTCAATAGTCTACTGGATCTTTAGTGTATACAGCAGTAGTTAAAGCTGGGTGTTATCGCAGCTGTGAGAGGAAAGGTAGAATGACACTGGACAGACAGCTATGAGTGGACCTCCTTTATCTTCATATTTATCATCTGTCTCTGTCAATGGCTCGCACCTTACTGTTGTCAAGTGATGTCCAGTAGATTGGTATTCTTAAATACTTCTTTCCTCAAGGTTCAAGTTTTCAAGGCAGCACTTTCTACTACAGTACCCTTTATAAAGGCTTTATACTGTATGTTGTAACTAATGTAATTGATTAATAATGTTATTTAACTTTATTAATGGTTAATAATAGGGGTGCAATCTGGCCAAAAAATAATATCAC